TCATCCTGGTCTTGCAGAGTGTTAGCCATTCTGGTGAATACCTTGCTTCTACTTTGCCTAACATGAACTCTGGGTCATCCCTACTCTGCCACTAGTGGGCTAATTGGGAAAGCTAGGCCAGTGTGTCACTGGTAGCTCTCAGCCTTAACCAAGCATGGCTCAGCCCTGGCCATGCTCCAGTCATAGACATATTATTAGACTCTACCTTTCCCCAGCATCTAGCCTGCTTCAGCATAAGGGACTAACCTCACACAGGCCACACTAATTAAATCTCCAAGACACCCGGGTTCTTAATAAAGCCTGACAGGACAGCTTGGCCTGTGCATGTCAGAGTGACCTCGTAACCCGGAAGCCGCCTAGTGTGTTTGTATTCATTTGTGTGTGCGTGTGTGTGTGTGTGTGTGTGTGTGTGTGTGTGTACACTTAGGGTGGGGGTCTTGCCATTGGGGGAAGGAAGGGGCAGACACCTGTCTCCAGTCCAAAGAGAGGTCACTTTCCAGGGGTATGGGAACGAGCATGACTCAACTGCTGCAAAGGGCAGCTTTATTAGCAATACAAATCATTCTGAGGGGAAAGTAGCATCTGATCATCATTTTTTCATGTTGGTGCCATGGCTTTGCTTTGTATGGGAAAGTGAGTGTGGACATTAATTCTTAATAAATAAATGTGGCGTTTCCAAACTTGAGCAATTGCCCTGAAGATCGATTATATTCAATTTCATCTACAGTTTTTGAATGCATCAGGGCCACAGTTGAAGAACAGCAATTGTATCTCCTCGTGTGGAAATAGTATACACTTAGCAAATTGTTTTGAACTGCTCAGCCATTGAGATGGAGCCTGCCTGCAGTCATTTATGCTATCTAGTGTCCACTTTACATGATTCCCTTGTTTTCCACGCGGTTGATCTCACTGGAAAGCGTTTGGATGGATGCATGTTTCTATGTATGTATTTTTATGGATGGATGAATGGGCGGTAGGATGTGCAGAACAAGAACAGCAAGAACACTGACTTATGTAGTGACACACACTTTCAGACAGAAAGAGTATAAACGGGCACAGTGTGACGACATCTGTTAAAAAGAGAAAACCTCTAAACAGCTTTTATGGATTAACAGTAAATGATTTAACCCTGTTAGCATATGGATAAAAAGGTCAAGCTTATGCTTCAGCATGTGTATGTGTGTGACTGTATCAGTGCTCTCTCTTCTGCCAAAACCTGGCAATGTCTCCTCCAAGGCTCTGGGTCAGATAATAGAACAAACAGCAGGGGAAATATCTGTTTTTGTCTCAATTAATAACGTGAATAATCCATTTAATGGCCCTGCAGAAATGTCACCAGCCTCACTTAGTAAATTTCCTGAATCTCATATTACACCTACTCTGTTGCCTTTGTGAGTGATGTGGGAGGTACCTTTTAATATTGTGTACAATTGAGAGAATCATTTTAGAACAAAAGGTAAGAACAGTGAGCAATCTCAGCCTACTGACCTGGATTAGATAGAATATGATTGTATATTCACTATTGAACAAACAACTTTATGCATCAAGGACAATGCAAAGCAGTAAATCAAGAATGCATTCTTGATTAGCAAATTAGCTTCATTACAGAATAATCTCTATGCTCTTTTTGATCTATTCTGCCTGTATATTTATAAGTCTACAGAAATTTTATAACAAGTGATAATTAGTTGAATCATATTAGAGCATGCAATAATGTTGCTGTGGAAAAAACAGGTAAACTGGGTCATGTGCTATAAGAGCTGCTTTGACCTATATTCAGAAGCATCAAGTATCTAATAGAGCAACTCTTCCCAAACAGTAGAATTTTGAAATATTTATTATGGCACCGGTATGGGACTATTTCTCCATCTCTGTCTTCTTCTCAGTGCAATATAGCTTTGTTTTGTCACTTCAGTTTTGAAAATCACTGTGTTCCAGACAGCCAAGATAGATTGCTTTGAATGGGCGTCCGCGCCTGCAGTGCCCATTCTAATTCAGCCTGGCTGCCACACCCACAGCTGCTGCCTGGGGCCAGTGCAAGAGCAGCAGGATAGAGTGGAGCAGCGGTGAACTATGGCTGCATGGGGCCAGACTGAGAATATAGGTCATCCAGCCCCGCAGATGAAAGATACATAGCACTGGCTGCTGGGGTTGAAGCGGGGTGGAGATGGAGTAAATATAGAGATGCTTCCAACTCCTCAGCATGGGCAGTTTAGATGACCACAGGGAGGGAGAGAAAAGGGCATGTGCAGGGTATATGCAGAAGGGAGGATGAGAGTGGGAGTGGCATGCAAGGCAGGGAAATTCAGGAAATTTAGTGTAGGGTGAGGCATGGATGGGGTATGTGCTGTGGGTGAATGAGACCCACAGGAACAGGAGTGTGTCAGTGTCTGTGGGAACCAGTATCAAATGCTCTTTCTTACTGATGAAGGGGAAATACAAAAAGCAGACTCCCCTCCTCGGAGCAGCTGCGACTGGCACACAATATCGTCCTCTGTTCGCCTGTGACTGGTGGTGATCGGGGGGCGAGTGTAAAGATCACACTCACACTGCACATATCCTTTTGTTTTCTTCTCAAGTTGAGATTGATGTGGTCACTTCTAGTTCTCAGAGCATTTTTACATTGCTTACTGTAGCGTAATCTCAGTGACAATTCAAATGTATTCAAATCAGTTTGATTTGTCTAATATATTCCACTTTAAACAGCAAGTTAATAGAAATTATAAAGATATTTTCTCATCTTTCTCTGGTGTTAGGCATGTGGGTAGTTTTTGTATTGTTACCTCCGGGTTTTGAGAGAGCTCTGAGATTTTTGCTGCCCTCCTAATACAATGGAGGTGATTGAAACTTTGTTGGGGAAGCTCAGTTGAAAGAATGCCAAAAATATAGTCTAACTGAAAACTTTTCATTGGGTTCAGTGCATTTTCCAGAGTAATGGGGACACTATTCCAGGGAAGAGATTCTGCAGTAGAGTTTTTAAATATACATTTTCAATTATTTGAGCAAAACAGTTGACATATACCCACTTTGTACAGGGGTGTAAACAGAGATTGATATCTCTAAACTAATACTCATAAAACCAAAACTATATTCACGCTAGATACCACCAGAGGTAAATAAGAAAATATGATTTTCTGTAATTTGTGTGAACCAACCCTTTGATTTTTTCAAAGACAATTAACACAGAGCAAAAAGAAGACATTGGTTACATGCTCAGAGAATAATAGTTCAAAGAATGACTGATGTGTGGAAGTAAGTGTAAATGCAGTCCATCCCAAGGTTTTGTCAAGGCGGCAGAGAATTCTCTTGCTTGCTCTCTCGTCTGTCACTCCCTCCCAGCTGCAGCTTGCTCCAGTCGAGGTCAAGCTTAGGCATGCACTCATGATAAGTGGCCTTTTGTTAAGACAAATGTTTCAAGAGGTGCTTGTCAAAATGTCTGGTTCTAGAGGCAATGGGTAATATATGTGCATAACAAAAGAGAAGGCACTGCAATCACTCAACAACTGTATGTGCAGAGTTTCTTTATTAAAACATAATTATGCACATTATTCAATCAAATTAGTATCCCTCCATTGCCTGTTGTCTATTAGTCCCATCAGATAAAGTTTTAAATGACCTGTAAATGCAGGACTTGAATAAAGCGTGGTGATTATTCTCCCCCTGATAGTCAATCATTCTGTTATTAAGCAACACTTGGTCCTCATCACACCATCCCTCCTCCTGCATCCAAAGCCAGTTTGTTACAAGATCAAAACAAAGAGATTGCTATCAGTCATTAGCTCAGTTCTCCACCCCTGCAACCCCAGTGAGCAAATAATGATAATTTACCTTGAAGACAAAGAAAAATGGGAAAACAACTGCATGCGTTATGACCTTAGCATTTTAAAGGTGCTGTAATTCAACTGGCAATCACACAAATTCAATAGCTGAGGGATTTCCCACTCATAAAGATTGAAAGAGTCTGAGAGAGGGATATACGTTGACTGCTTGTGCTGTTTCATTTTGGCCAAATGACACCTAATTATGTAGCTTGGGCTACCTGAGGAGATCGAGGGGGTGAGAAGTGCTGAACAGTGGAGACAGAGAGAAAAAAACAACAATGGGGTGCAGGCAAGGGTGGGGTGACTTTGTGACAGAAAAAGAAAGAGCGAGGCAGTGTGGACAGAGTGGCGACTTGGTATGGATGTGGGTGTGTTTATGGAGGTGAGAGGGGCACAGAGGTACGAGTCCATGGCGAGGGGCTAAGAAAGGGCCTGTCTAGGGACAACTAAATGTGAAGGGTCATTGCTGAGAGTGGAGTGCGCCTGCTGACACAGACAGACTGTCTGTCTCTCCTGCACTAAGGAGTTTAGGGACACACAGAGACTCAGCTGCTGGTCTAGACGACAGTAAGAGATAGAGGAGGCCGTCAAGGAGAAGTCATTCCAACCCCCCACATTCAGATTCTTCCTCCCAATGTTCATGCAGACAATAGGCATCCTTTTAGAACCCCTACACACTAGCCAACCTCAAAGAACCAGTGTGTTCAAAAGCCAAGTGATCAAAAGCTTTGCATTGCCTCATGTCACTGCATGTCCACCCCTGTTGCCTACAAATTATGAGCATATACATACAAATATTAAAGGCAACAGTTACGTAAAAAAAACATTAGGACATGTTGTTTCCCTAAACCAAGTATTTCAGAAGACTAAACCTCTTAGCAAATGGGACAAAGGACAGGAAGCCCAGTTTCTGGGATTCTGAAAAAAACAAACATTGCCAGTGAACATAATCCAAGAAGCAATTACGTTTCCACCAAAACGTAATTGGCAAAGAAAATAACTGTAGCAAATGACTGTTTTATTATTAACAGTTGCACTTGAACACACCGCAAAGACTACACAAAACACAACATAATGTGGTGATTTACAGATGCATAAATAATGTGTGTTTATATATATAAAGACAAAGAAATAAATAAATCACATGCGTTATATTTTTGCTTATTTTATCCATTCTAGGATGCCTTTATTGGATAAGAGCAGCTGAAGAGAGACAGGAAAGGGGGGAGAGAGAGAGAATGACATGAAGCACATTGCCCCAGGCTGGAAACAAACCCGCCCACTACAGTAAGGACTCACTAAGGACCAGGTGAGCTACCAGGGTGTCAACCAGATTATTATTATTTTTTTTTACATGGATTTGTTATCCATATACAATACCAGCATGAACTAACAAAAAATATACAGTAACAAAAAGTCACCTGTTTTTGCACATATCATCAGTCAGTGTCAGTTGAATGCTGATTAATTTGTTGTGGGTGACAACTTCATTAGCACAGGTGACGGGACAAAAATGGCAAAGGCAGTAGCCATTGCCTCTTCTGCTCTACTAGCTGCCACCTCCATGATGACAAACATATTGGTCTGGGACCGAAGCCAAACTGCCATGGGCACTAAAATTCTGACAACTGTTGTAAACGATAGTGAAAGATTTTCTCACTGTTAAGAGAACACTGACAAATACCACTCTGAGCCTCCAAATACACCTTGTAGTTTGCATGCTTTGGGATTTACTTTTATAGTCTATATTGTTCTAGTAGAAAGAGGAAACAAAGAAAAACATCAGTTGGGATTGATTAAAAATATCAGGTCTTATATGAACAAAAAATAACAAAGAATAAGATTGTGACTTCCCTGCCTGCCAGCTGTTTGCCATGGTGACCTGCACCTGCTACACAGTGGGAAGGTCATTTTCAATCGAATCATTGTAATTTGGATGCTTCTCTCTGCACCCATCTGAGAACAGCTAAATGTATTATGGGCAGAAACCTGCTGGGCGTGTGGGTGTGTCTGCCTGCCTGTCTATCTAGACGTCTTTCTCATTGTGTCAGTCGATGTGTCTTTCTGTTCGTCTTTGTGTGAGCAGGCGTGAGGCAAGTGTGTGAGCCAGCTAGATGCAGAGGCCCACAGCAGATGAGCTGTTGCAATGATTGGCTGGTCCCTGCCGTGTGCTGATAGGTTGCTGTCTCTTTCTGTTCAAACAGGGGTCTAATCAGACACTTTAACAGGCTGACTTGTTCAAACACACCATGCTCTGCACTGGGGATCTGGCAAACACAGACTTGTATTTATGTGTGGGAGTGTGCATGTGTGCGTGCATGCTGAGGGTCAGTATAATTAGTGTTGGTGAGGAGATGGAAGTGGGATGTAGAAATCTGTCTTGCTCAATTTTCCTGCGGCCTGGTCCTCATTCTGTCACACCACCATGTCTGTAATACATTTCAGTCCCTCATCTCCTACTGATGATGACGTATATAAATGTGCGTGTGTGTGTGTGTGTGTGTATTTGGCTAATAATAATAATCAATAACTCTTCAGAATAATACCATGTCCTGTGGTGGGCAGATATCATCCAAATACAGCAAATTGTCTCACACACACACTTAAGTACACACGCATGCAGGCTACGTTAGGTTATTGTCAGTTGCTGATTGGAGGGACTCTGAGGTCATTGATTAGAAGTAAAAAACACCAATTTGGACTAACATGTCCTTGTTGTATCTCTGCTGTAATGGCCAATTAAATCCCTTCTCCTCTTTCCCTCTTCTTTCAATTTCCTTCTCTCTCAACAGTTTTTACCTACATGCTATTTGTTTTTTTTAACAGGATAGCTCATCTCCATCCATCTTCCCTAATTTGAGCTTCATCATCATCACCGTTTTTTCATTTCCACACTTGCTCAGCTAAGCCCTACTTGTGTTCTGAGATAAAACAGTTTGGCAAACCTTTTTGTGAAGCAGCTACAAATGCTACAAGTGTTGGCCTGTTGCACATAGTTCAACATTTTGCAAGAGAGAAATGGAAAAGTGGCCACAAATGAAACGTTTAGATGACATTCTTTCGACATGGAATCATTACATGCTCCTACCATGGTTGCTCACAGTGTGGCATAGCACACATCTCATGATGGAAATTCAACATTAAACCCAGTACAACTACAGTAATTGGCAGTCTAAGCCAGACAAAGTGTCTGTCTTTGTCTGTTTGACTCTAGGATAATAGACAATCCCTGAGTGATGAGTACGTTAGGGCAGGCTATTCACCACTCTAAAGGCAGCAGGAACATATGGTGCATCAACACCAAGAACTAGTTCTACCCTGTGCAATGTGATTAAAAGCATGATTTACATTCTATCAGCATGTATTTAGTTTGAATTCTGATCAGAAATTAGAAAGTATGATCTCTGCCAGACAGAACATTTACACAAAAATATGTCCTGCAGTAAGTGTCCATGGCCCCTGGCAACGATGGACATCAAGTTAGGCTCAATCTCTCTTTACTTTTTACTTGTGAAACTGATTGTCTGGCACCTGAAGCATTTACTAATTAGAGACATTTTCAGTAATGAGAATGTTAATGCTACAGGGGAGTGTCAAGCCTTTTCCTTTTACTCAAAGCAGGTTTCTGTGTGTGTGTTTGTGTGTTTTCACTTGTACATGTATTTGTAGGGACATAACGGGAACATTCATACAGTCACATCATGGGGCTAAAAAGGTAAACAATTTGATTAAAGGGTCATGACTTGTTTTTTTGGTTAAAATAAGGTTTAAGGTTTGCGCTGGGGTTAGGCATTGGTTAAGGTTAGGATCAGTCTTCAGGAAATGAGTGTAGGTAAAAATGTAAATGCAGTGTCCTTGTAAGTAACAAAAGCAAGTATGTTGGTTGTACTTGAATTTGAATCATTCTGGTTTTTTTGGAGGCCCTCGAGACAGTGACTGCCCCCTAGGGTATATGGCATGTCACTGTTAGGATAGGTCGGTGTGGGTGTGTATTGGGGGGTGGATGTGGGTAGGAGAGCTCAGGTTTGTTGATGGAAAAGTCTGGGACTGTGGGTACCTCTGGGTTGGTGGCTTTTCTCTGAGCCCATACATATACAAACACACACACTGCATATGCACACGCACACACACACACACACACACACACACACACACACACACACACACACACACACACACACACACACAAAAAGATCATGCCTCTGTGTGTTAATCCCTCTGTGCTTGGTGGTTCAATTCCATAGAGGTTAATTAGAGTTAATCAGAGGGAACCACTGTTCTGCCACAGAGGAAACTCCACTAATTTGTTATCACTGAACTCTTCCCTTTGTCTTCTTCACATCCCTTTTTTTTCCCGGTCTTGTCTCTTTACCTGTGTGTGTGTATGTTGACAGTGGCTTCTGCAGTTAGCGAAATATGAATATATTTGTGTGTCAGTGGTAGCCTTGAAGGTGTTTTGAGTGAAGTGTGAAACTCGCAACTTCTTTTCTTTGCCTGGAAAACTCCTGTCTTTTTCTTACCACGCTTGAAGGAACCACAAAATAAAAGTAAATTACAAAACTTCATGAACACATTGTATACTTGAAAGCTCAATCACAGATTGGATGATAAACAGGTATAACACTGTATGATAATTAATCATTGAAGATTTTCTTTACAGACTTGTAACCCTGACCATGTCCACTTCTGAATGGATTGAGGGTCATCGCCTTGCTGTAGAACGTCCTTGTTCTGAGTGCACCCTTCAGCACAAATGGCATAGTCCGTGAGGAGCTGGTGAAGGATTATGACATTATATAGCAACCAGTGGTTGGTCAGGTTACCTGTAAGATGTAGGTGATAAACAGGGGATAGTGTGATCCTCCATGTGTCACTGCAGCCGTGATAACTTATAAAATCCTGTCTCATTCTGTCACACCAGTGCAGCACTTTGGTTTTTTTTTAAACGCAGTGCTATTTTCGGTCTGAACATAGCATTACACCCTCACAATGAATCTCCTCACTGACAGGTGAAAAGAAATAGCCGGCATATGTGTTGGACACATGGTTGTCCACACACTCCTCAGGCCAGGAAGTTGGCAGCGACAAGGGCGAGTGTATGGCGAACTGGCCCATTCCAAAATAGTTTCTTGTTGTAATTGTCCTTTTATTCTCTACCTATTTGCCCTTGATCATGCACGTATAGACAACTGGGAGTTTTATGAATAGTTACAGTCAAAGATTATGATTGTGCTCCCAGCTGAGAACTGTGTAACGATGCACAGTTGTAAGCAGGGTTTAACAGTGAAATAACAAGGCAGTCAAAGCGGGGTAAATAGAGGTTAAAAATATCCCTGAGCACACTTCTGCTCTGTCATTGCCTCCCCTTTGATTGATGGCAGGATGTGTCATTCCTATCATTGTTTTTTTTGGGGGGTCTTTTTTTCTGGATCCCTTCAGCTATTTCATGAGAATATGTTAATTTCACATTCCAATTAAGAAGAAGTCACTCAAAGGAGGTGAGACGAGGTTTAATGAGAAATAATTGGAATTTTTTCAGCTTTTTTGCTGTTGCACGAAATTGAAGGGCAACATGGTTAGAAGTCTGTGTTCAACCAAATTAATTCCATTAATTTCTGCTACAGTAAACAGTAACTCGAAAAGCTGAATTCTTAGAGAAGAAATTCCCTTTTAACAATGGCTTATTAGTTACTGTCTTATGATGCTGTGTGAACCATCTCATATTCCAAAAAGCATGAAGTATTAGAGTTGGGCAGCATTTGGCCCCCAAAATGACAACTGCTGAGTTTTGAGTTCATATGACAGAACTAGCTTATAGGGTTTGGTGCCTGGAAGAAAAAGAGAATAAAAGAGTGTGTTGGGCAGACTCCACAGTAAGCTGGACTGTGGATATTTTTTATGAAGTGTGTATTTCTATTTGTGTATGTAAGTATGACTGTGTGTTTAAGGTGTGTACGTGCATGTGTGTAAGTGTGTGTGTATGTGTGTGTGAGTGGTCATGCAATGCCACTGGTCATCAATAATGTATCAGCTCTACGCACATGCATTTAACACTTGGTTTCACTTGATTTACTCATCTGGCTCCTCGCCCACAGGGGGATAAAGTTATCATTAAAACATCTCCTTCCTTCCCTCCTTGCTGAACAAATTCACCTTTACAGTGAAAAAAACAGTGATATGGAAAAAATCCCTTAGTAAGTACCAAAAGGAAATGCAGATAGCGCAACTCATGCTAACTTTGAAACATCTATGAAGCCAGGGATATCATAGCCTGGCATGCATTACAGCTATGTATAAAACAAATGAACT